ATTTAACTGATTTTCATAGCCCCGCCCAATGGCAAGTGCAGCTCAAAGAAATGTATCTGATTAGTTATCCACGGGGGAAATGAGACAGTTAATGTGTGACTTCAGTATTTATCTTGTGAGACTTTACATTTATAGTTGCTCCGATTACTTAACAAGTGACTTCTAGACAACCCATAATATGTCAGTGGTCTCATCTGAACCTGAACGTTTATTCTGATAACCAGTAGTTATTGAGTATCGCTGTCCTGAGTGTTTGAGTATTGACCCACGTCCTCTTCAAAATCTCATTCAATCTCATGAGGTAGGGGAAGGATACTACAGGGGAAGAAAACCAGAAGCCAGAATTTCAGGAACATGCCTAAGGTCACACAAGTAGGAAATGATAGAAGTTTCGGAGCCCCAGACTGCGATCTTGATCATTGGCTTCCCATGAGGGTTCTGCGATGGCACAAACCCCTCCACCGCAGAACTTCTAGGTCCCTCATGAGCATGCATAGCACTTAAAGGTCTTGCTATGGAGCAGATTCCAACTCAATAGGTGTGGGTGGAGGCTGATTGGTGGAGGTTAGCTCTAACAAGATCTCGGGTGATTCCAATACCCTGTGGTCCATGGACTACACTTTCAATATCCAGGCACCAGACCACTACATCTACACACTGCTTTAGCAGGAGCCCAAGCCAAATGTCTAGGGCAAGTTGGTTCATGCTTAGTTTAGTGCTCACAACTAAAATATCTAGATATCTCAGTCCAACAGAATTGCCATGAGATGACGTTTCCTGAGCCTCGTTAATGAACCTGAGCTGATCTAATGTTCAGAAATTGACATGATCTTGATTACAAGGTGTGCTTTAGCATATAATGATTAACAGTGATAGACAGTCTATACTGCACTTATTTATTTATTTTTTAAGATTTTATTTGTCAGAGAGAGAGACAGAGCACAAGCAGAGGGAGCAACAAGCAGGAGGAGGAGTAGACTCTCCGCTGAAAAAGGAGACTGATGTGGGACTCCATCCCAGGACGCTGGGATCATGACCTGAGCCGAAGGCAGAATCTTAACCCACTGAGCCCCCAGTCTCTATACTGCACTTCTTAAATATTGGGTTATTTAGTCTTCAAGGTAGGTCTGAGTGGTAATGGAGTATGACAGGTATTTTTGAGGAAAGAAACCCAAGGCAAGTGATGACTGCCATGAGTCTCTTTTGCAGCTATGACCACACAAAGATGCCCAAATTCTTCTCTTCTGTCAGCTGATCTTGATGTTTGGCTATGTTCCATTAACTGATTAAAAGTAAATAGATGCAAAAATAAATAAAAAGCAAAGAGACGCAAAATGATAGAACTGAAACAGGTAAGATGCAGCCACATCCTGATTTTGCTTTAAATACACAGATAACCAAGGCCGAAGGAATTTGAAAGCATCAAGGGTAATTTTCTATGGTTATTACATTAATAAAAACCTATCTAATACAAACAGCAAAGCTGTATATATAATTTTATTATGCTGCTAAAATCAAAACTTAGTCTTATTCACTCCCAGGCCCTGAGGCCACCTGTGAGATAATTGTACCATTTTTTCCCCAGACTCTCCAGGTTTGGTGTGGCAGGCAGGAAACTGGTTATTTCACCTCTTGTGTCTATTTTAATGGAACTAAATATGTGGGAATTCCTTTTTTTCATATGTAGATACTAAAAGTTTTATGAAACCATACTCAGAATTCAGAGTTGATCTCTAAATGTCAAATGGTAAACTATCCTTAGAAGACTAATATTTTCACAGAAAAAAAAATCCTTTTGAGTTACTGTGGAGACAATGAAGATAAATCAAGAAATGTTGTCAGTCACTAGGAAAGGAAAATTACCAAAGTCTCTATATTTAAAAACACTCGAGGAGAGACAGCAAAACTTACCAAACCTGGGCTTTCCAAACATATTTGTGATTTATAATGTTATTTTTCTCCTCATTGACAAAGGAAAGAATACCTCCGTTCTTGACAGAAATGGCTACATGGCCCCTCTTTATCACACTGTGTTCACTCATCAAGCTTGAACTGACTTTAAGAATAATAGGCTTATGGGGTGCCTGGGCAGCTCAGTGCTGCCTTCAGCTCAGGTCATGATCTCAGGGTCCTGGGATCGAGCCCTGCATAGGGCTTTCTGCTTGGTGGGAGTTTGCTTCTCCTTCTCCTCCCCATCCATGCTCTCTTTCGCTATCTCTGTCTCTCTTGAATAACTTAAATCTTTTTTAAAAATTAAAAAAATAATGAGCTTACTTTGAAAAATCATGTTTTCTTCAAGTGTACACTTACGGCTCAAACTAAAGACTGGGTTTATTCTGAGTTCATACCAATACTCCTGAATGATCCACTTGTACTGAACGTTCTGTGCAGAGATTCTCCATGGGAATACTCCAAGCGTACTAAGCAACAATCCCTAGGACCCTGTCATTAGATGGTCGTGGGTGGGAAGGTGTCTGAAAGTGTTGATGGGTGCACTGGGACGACTATCCTCCCCCACCCCAACATTATTTATTTCATATTGAAGGGACCATCACAATATCTGGCTAATAAAACAAAGTTCAGACAGAATTATCAGGGACTAAATCATTTTCTTCCTTCATTAAGTTTTGCCGGTATCTTTCAGAAGATAGAGGTAGCACAGAAATGAACAGATAATAGAGCTTTGGCCTACCTGCTTCACTTTCATCAGCTGCTCCTCCGGGACACTGGTAGTTCCCTCCTCAGTTCCTTAAAGACACCAAGCTCCTCCCAGCTCTTGGCCTCCAGATTCGTGCACGGTTCCCTCCGCCCACAGTTAATATCCCCAGCTTTACTCTTGGGTTTCTTTGTGATTTATGCTTTCATAGTGATGCATTTCCTTGGCATTGCTTGCACTGACTAATTTGTCTACCTCATTTAACGTGTCTTTTCTACTAAACTATAAGCAACGTGAGAGTAGGAATTTTGTTTTTTCACCACTGTATCCTTATCACAATTCACAATGCTTGGCCCCTAGTAGTGCAGTAACTATTTGTTGAAGAATGGGGTTGGGGAAGTAGAGGAAATTGCTGAGGCACTGCTCAGGTTTATATCCTTTACAAGGGCTAGCGAAGAATGCCTTGTGCCTGTGGAGGCAATTAATGTGTTAAATCTTTTGAAGGCAAAAGTAGAATCTTTCGTAATAAACTGAGAATTGTCTGATGTGATTAGGAAGAAATTAAATCCTAAATGAAAGCCTAAATCCTTAATGAGAACACACTTACGACTTAGTGAATATTTGAATGTCTTGGATAAAGTATTTATGAGCTATGATTTGCTGGGATTTGTGGACCAGTCCCAAGAGCGGGCCTCTTGGCTCCCCCCTACATATATACACTAGAATAGTGAGAGTACTATGGAAACCTAGCTGTACAGGTCACTCAAATTGCCTCTCGTAGAAAGTCATGATCTTTTAGAGTATTATTAAATATTTGGTTATCCACTGCTGTAGTTTGGAGTGTACAGCACCATTTTAAAATTCCTACAATGTGTTAGTTGTTGCTTCTGTCCATCCTGTTGACCACGGAAGTATTGCTGAAGAGATTTCTGGTGTTTAAATTATAATAAGTGAAAAACAGAGTACTTTCATTTAACACTTTAATTTTTATTTCTTTTTATTTTCCAAGAGCTTAAGCTGATTCCCCCCAAAGCTGCAGTACCCTGGGATATAAGAGTAAAAGGCAACATCCAGGTAAGATACCACCATACGGTCTCCACCAAATAAATACTAAAATGTGGCTCAAACTATACTTAGAAGTACAGTTGGTCAAAAAAGGTAATTTCTGAGAAAGCAGGTTTAAATTCTTCATCTAGGGATATTCTGGAAATATGCTATGGATGGAACTTTTTATTAAGTTATGAGAATTAAAGGCCCAGGAGGAAATGTAGTATTACTTCCTAAAAATGTCTGAATAAAAGCTATTACTTCGAATAATGTGTTCATAGATAATTGTTTAGACATTAAAAACAAGCTCACACAGGCTTGCACTTACACATCTTTTTTTTTACTCTCCTTTATGAAGGAAGACAAACCGGGAAAGAAATAAGATATTCCACCCCCAAAAGGCCAGTAATCCTTAAAAAAAAAATCCACTGTGCAAAAACTATTTTTATGGTTCCTGTGAACTTATGACAAGGAATATATCCAGGAACAAGGCTTTGAAATCTAAGCTATGTTCCATTGTTTGCAGTTACCTTGGATTTTAACTAGATGTACAAGTTGACTTCTGACCATGGGGAATCCTCTCCATGCATGGATTTATGGATTGTTGAGGCCATGGCAGATAACCAGTTCCACAGAAGCAACTTCATGCTCTTCTGAGGAAGATCCATAGCACTGTGGAACAAGGAATATAAGTGAGCGATGCCACAAGAGACTGCAAATGGGGTTATCAAAATACAACCAGCAAAAATGAACTCTGAAGGTGGAGAATCTACAAGGAAAAATACTTCTCAGTGGTTTCACTCTTATGTGAAGAGCACTGACATTCAGTAGCCATGGCATGTACTTCTTAAGCATGTAAACAGCCAACCTATCTGTGGATTCCAAGCTCATTAAGTAGACAGTTGAATAAATTTGTAAAAAAAAAAAAAAAAAAAAAGAAAAAAAAAGAAAAAAAAAAAAAAAAAAAAATAAGCAATGCCAAAATGAAAAAAAAAAAAAAAAAAAAAAGTCTCCGGTGTCTAGAGGGGGAAAACACCAAATGAAACTATTCAAACTGCAGTAATAAAATATTTGGCCTTTAATCATGTCCAAATAAATTGCATTTGAAAGCTCCCCCTCCCCCACCCGTAGTCATAAAGAAACACACCAATTTTTCAACATTTTATAATGGCCAAAGAAGGGGTTTACATAGGTATGTTTATTAGTGGAACTCACTTTTTAATTAGTTTTTAATAGGTTGCTAATCCATTTTAGCCTTAAATCAGTTCCATCCCATTCTCAATCCCTTTCCTGAGGTCTAACAGTTAATGTCGTCTACCATGAGGAGAGCTTCCTGGGGCACTTTGGGAATCATCTGCTTGGGGCTTAAATAAGTACAGTTTATAAAGTTCTCTCTCTCTTCCTCAGCCCCCACTAGGAATGAAAAAGGCATTTCTAGAGGTAAAGGATTCTCTTCCTCTCTCGGCTCCTCTTCCTCCACCCCCTCCTCTTCCTCTTCTATATCCTCCTCTTCCTCTTCTTCCTCATCCTCCTCTTCCTCTTCTTCCTCTTCCTCCTCTTCGTCCTCCTCCCCTTCCTCCGCGCAGTCAGCGTCTTCGACCTCCTCTTCATCTCCGGCCTCGGCCTCCTCCTCCTCCTCGCTCTCCTCCTCCCTCCCGTCACACTCCTCGTCACACTCCTCCTCGTCACACTCCTCCTCCTCCCTTCTCTCGTCGTCGTCGTCCTCCTCCTCTCCAGACTGTGCGGTGGGAAACCGGTGCTCCTCGTCGCGGTCGGGACTGAAGCCCAGAGAGGGATTCTGCGCAAAGGCGTACAAGCTCTCCCGCGGCTCCGTCTCTTCCTCGCCGCCGCTGGGGGGCGCGTCGTTCCCGGAGGAGCCCCCGGGGGAGGCCGCGCCGCGCGCCTGCGCCTGCTGCGCCCGCTGCGCCCGCAGCGCCTCCTGCTGGCGCTCCAGCTTCTCCTGCTGCCGCATGTCCTCGTAGATCTGGTTCATGATGAACTGGGTGGTGTTGCGCGGTGCCCGCATGCCCGGTGCCCGCCACCCGTACAGGTTGACCGGCCTCAGCAGCGTGCTCAGATCCACGGGCGGGCTCCTCGGGAAGGAGCGGCGAGGGTGGCGGCGCAGGCCGCGGCCCCTGCGGCCCCAGCGCTTCTTCCTGCCGGGGGGCCTCGCCCAGCCGGGATTCCAGGGCCCGCGCCAGCAGGAGCAGCAGCAGAGGCAGAGCGGGTGCACACCAAACACCCGGATCACTTGCACTTGGCCGGGAGGCTTCCAGAATCCGGCCGGTGGTGGGCGCCAGGGCTCTCCCCAGCGCCCCCAGTTGGAGTACACTGCCCAGTAGGGCCGTCGGGGTGGTTGGAACCAAGGGCCCGGACCGTGCTGTTGCTTTGGCTGTTTCCTGGGGGGCTCAAACTCCGACTTGGGACCATAGCGGTGGCGCCGCTTGTTTATGGGAGCGCCCCTGCGCCTTCGGTGGCAGGTAGACCAGGTACGCAAGGGGGCGGAGGACGCCCAGCCGCCGCCCAGGTTGAGAGGGTCCTCCCTGTTGTCGAGGGTCTGGGTCATCGTCCAAGGAGCTCCCAGAGGTCTAAACAGAAGCGTCCTAGAAGCCGTCGTCGGTTGGCCTGATCTGAAGGTCTGCAGAGCCTCGTCCGTCTGGGCAGCACCACGTGCCTGCTACCGGGAGGGCACCTTTCTCTCCAAGAGGACCCCCTTCTCCCTCTTCTCTGCTTGCTGGATCGCTCTTCCTTCGTAATCTCTTGTCTTTCGCACCCAAGTTGTCTCGCCCAGGTGGGTTGGGCGGGACTGGGGCTGGGTAAGGATGGTGGGGGAGGAAGGTGTTGGTGGGCGACGCACGGTGAGACCCGCTCCCGGATCCCACACACACCCGCCTCGGCTGAGGCGCGGGCTGGGAACCGGGGAGGCAGGGGTTGCGCGTTACCTTGCTGCTCCCTCCCAACCCAGGTGCTACACCGTCGCTGTCCAGGCGGGACTGAGCCGGCGCGGGTGGCTCCGGCCTTTAAATACCGGCCAGAGGCCCCCCGCGTGCCCACCGCGTCCTCGGTTGCCCAGGGCGATAGCCAATTGGGGTCGAGGTCGTTCTCGCTGTGCGAGGAGGGGGTTCCGGGTGGAACGAGGTGCCCGGTTAATGTTCGCAGGGGGCTTGTGACGCAGGTTTTGAAAGCGGGAAAAAGGGCCCTAGGCTGGGGTTGTGCTTCCCAACTCAGACAACGTTTGGGGCAGTTAATTTGAAACTTTTGTACCACCCGGAGGTGCGGGGATAAAGATGGACCTTGAGCTGATGAACCCCTTGGAAGGGGGAAATCTTGTATATCGGAAAACTCATCTCTTACACCTTTGGAAGTCGAGGAGATAGAGGGAAAGTGCCTAGAGTCAGAAAACGGGACCCCACTCCTTACCTTAGGGCCTGTGCACACTCTTCTGACTCTTGGGCGTTCTAGTGCATCACACGTGAAACATGACCACCACCATTTATTGCGTGTGCTTGCAGCAAGCATGAGCTCACCGCATGTAGTCCTCATACCTGTAGGCTCTGTGAGGTGGGTATTGTTACGGCGCCTCACAGATCAGGAAATTGAGAGGTTAACTTACTCAAGCTCGTGGGCATAAGGAGCTTTGGGGCTAGTATTTAAATCTAAGCCAGGTTGGCCCCTAAACCAAAGTCTTAACCACATGGCTGCACTCTACTGCCCATCCACCTTAAGTAGGACTCTTTTGAGGAGTACACGAAATCCTTCGGGGAAATGCTTTGCTAATTGTCATACAACATGCGCTTGTCCACTAATGAAATCAATAGTACCAGGATGTATACAGTGGGTTTACTCTTGAGAATACAAATATGCCAGTTACGTCTTTTGGTAAGTCCCTTTGTCTACCAGACAACACAAACATTGGGAGTCTTTATAACATTATGGTTAATAATATGGGCTTTAATTTAAATTAGCACGAACCTACTCTGAGGGATACTGTAACGGTGGATATAGGTCATGGTCGTTAGGCATTCATCCAAATCCATAGAACGTACAATATCAAGACTGAACCCTAATGTGATCTATAGACTTTGGGTGATGATCATGTGTCAGTGTAGGTTCCTCAGCTGAAAGGCACCTACCATTCTGATGAGGGATGTTGGTCATGGGGGAAGCTCTGCATGAGTGGGGAGAGGGAGTATATAGGAAATCTCTTTATATGGGAAAGTATATGGGAAATCTACTGCATTTTAACATGAACTTAAAACTGCTTAAAAAATGAAATCTATTAAAGAAAATGTGCTTCAACTTCGATTCAGCAATGATGAACCTCTGTGAACCTCAGGCTCCTAACCCATATGGAGAGTAGAGTTATAAAATGCCTATTCCACGAAGCTGTGTTAAAGGTTAAGGTACTTCCTTAACGCAGCCAATGCAAGTACCCCAGGAGCGTGCAGTCGCTGTTGGCTCTCATCATTGTCATACTTAAATACTTTAGGACTTTAAAGTTGATACGGTGTATATAAAGATAACCAACCCTGTGCATGAATGCCAAAATCGGCATCCCTGCCCTTGTGCCCTTTTCTTGTCCCATTTATTAGAAACATCAAGGACTAGCTACCACGCTTGATCCTAGAGAAAACCACCCCAGAGTATATCTTTTTATTGCTTTCCTGTGGTGAGTGGAATTATGGAAAATGGAACATTGCCCAGTGGGAATCTGAGTCCATGCAAGCCTCCAGTAAATGATGGAGAAGTAAATGTGGGAAAGCCCCTGAAGCCTGCAAAGGTCATTTATGCCTTCCTGGTTGAAAATGGAGAACAGGGTGGGGGATCTTGGATCAGGACTCCAACCACTGCCGTGGGACCTGTAGACTCCAAAGGCTTCATTCAATTTGATTTGCTCTGTGGTTTGCTGGAGAATGGCCTGCTTGACTTCAAGTGCTGAATGCTGACACTTTGAGCCCCCAGTGTCCCTTTCTGGATATGGAACCACACATCTGGCTGTTACTCTGCCCTTACTCTGCTTAATTCAAATTGGAATGCTGATACTCCAGATTTATTTTTATGGGGACCTATGTGGTATACCTATTGGGTTTTAATTGGGAACTTTAGAAATTGACCATGTTGCTGTAGTGGATTTCTCATCAATTTCTTCTTTGTTTAAAAGAGATTAATTCACAGAAAATAAAAGCATTGTTCTTGTACAGTTTCTTCCATGGTGACATGCATTTCATATTAATTCTTCTTATTAAAGAACGTTAGCATGGTATTCTTGCCCCTTCCTTACTCTTAAGAGAAACAGAAAATTACGGTTTATGATTTGTAGTTTTTTTCAGTAGATTGCCATTGTAATTCAAATTGTTCATGTACTGGCAAATCACCCAGAGGATGTTAAACGTGACTTTAAGAAATGCAATTAAGGAATTTTTAAAGACCTCTTTTAATTGGCTCATATTCCTTAAATACTACAAAATAAACTGTTTTAATATGTAGTATTAGTTTTCTACTGCTGTGAAACAAATTCTCACAAACTTACTTAAAATAACATATATTTGTTATCTTGAATTTTCAGGTGTTGGGGGGCCCAGGAATAGCTTAGTTGGCTCCTCTGCTCAGGATCTCACCAGACTACAGTCAAGGCACCTGGCTGGCTTGGGTTCTCATGTGGGGTGCTCCATTTGGGAAAATGTTATGGCAGAATTTATTTCCATGTGGCTGTGTAAGTGAGGGCCCTCCCTTTTAGCTCTCTGTTTGCCTTCAGGTTGGAGGCCACCCACAGGTCCTGGAGGTTAACAGCCATTCCTAGAGATTATTCTCACTTCCTTGCCATGGGCTTTCTCAGTAGGGCTGCTCATTCCTTCAAGTCAGCAAAGCAGATCTCCCAAGTGCTTCCTAGCACAACGAATACACACACACACACATGCATATGTATCATAGTATGGGCTTGACATTGACATTAATGACATCTGCCATCTTTGTCATATTCTGTTGGTTAGAAGCAAGACCCAAGGTCTTACCAGCATTCAAGGGGAGAAGGTTACACAAAGCCATGAATAGCAAGAAGTGGAAGGTTCACTAGGGGATTACCTTAGAGGGTTCACCACACAGACCAAGTAAATTGAGTAAAATACGCCCTTCATATATCAACTAGTATGACTTTATTTGGGAGACTTGAATAGCATGCAGCATTCTGAAATTCCGTTAAATGCTGTATGACAGCGTAAGTTATGCTATGCTTTATGTTATGCAGGACGTTATACTGTTACGTTGAAAACACACTGCTATCTTGGTGTTATTTTTTGTGCATTTGTGTGAATTGAAAAGGATGAATGCTAACACTTGATGGCAGTAGTAACTCATTCAAAATCCAGTCAGTGAGAGCCCCCCGTATACAAAACAAACTATGAGAAGATAGGTATTTCATCTTTATATTTATCACAAATGGCATATTTAAATTATTCCAGGTTGCCAATATTAACTATCCTTTATTCTGGTGCAGTGTAATTGGGTATATTTATTAGATTTTAGCATTTTTCAATTGGCTTTTGGAAAGCAAGCCTCCGCTAATTAAACTTATAAATTAAAATTTTTTAGAGAGAATTTGGATATGCCTGAGAAATTTGGTCAGATAAATAAAACTCAACAAATATTTTTTAGATCCATCTTTGTCACCTATTAAGTTCTATGGGATATGAGAAAAAATAAATGGAACACATTTTATACACTCTCAAAAACTTGCCTTTTGCAACCCTGAAGAGATCCAAGCAGTCATTTCAAACCAAAAAGGTAAGCGCCATCTGTTGGTCATAGAAGCTAACTACAAGGTATTAAGTCTCCAGCCTTTCAAAAAGTGAGATGAAATTAACTCATTAACTAACGTAGTGGACTGATATGTGCTTTTCAGAATCAGTAGTGCTATACGTGCTGATATGGAAAAATTCTCAAGAAAATATTTTTAAGTGAAAGAAGCAAAATTTAGAATAGTGATTACCTCTGGTATTTAAAAATCCATGTTTGCATGTTAGATGCGTTCATAATGGTGATGTGTGTGTAGACCTGCACATGTATTTTTGTATAAAAAAGGGAAATTGCTCAGGGCACTTGGGTGGCTCAGTCAGGTGAGTGTCAAACACTTGGATTTTTAACTCAGATCATAATCTCAGGGTCATGATCTCAGGGGGCATTGAGCCCCGCGTTGAGCCCTGCTGAGCCCCGTGGGTTGGGCTGCATACTCAGTACAGAGTCTGCTCCAGATTCTTTCCCCTTTTTTCTCCCTTACACAGTGCTCTTCCCTTGCACTTCCCTTCAACAGAAAACTTCCCATTCCCTCCCTCTCTCTCTCTCTCTCAAATAAATAAATCTTAAAAAAAGGGGGGGTTGCTTATGTACAAGTTTTTGTTTCTCATGAAAACTTTTACAAAAGCATGCAAGAAACCATCGCCTAGTTATTTCTTGGGAGTGGAACTTGAGGTTTGCAGCAGGAAAGAAAATCACCTTTCATTGTATATTCCTCTGTCATTTTTTGGTTTGTAACCATGTCCCTGTGTTATGATCATACATTTCAGAAAGATC